AAGAATCAAAAATAGTTGTTGCATCGTCCCTGAATGGGGTAAAATACCAGCAACTTAGTGACCCCATACTTCTACCGAAAAATTCTAGGCAGAAAAACCTAACAATTGAATTATGTCCCGCCCCGGGATTTGTACCCGGCACCATATTTAATTATATTTAACTCGACCAACTAGGCAGTTATATGATATTAGGAAATTAAGGACGACCTTGTAAGACATGAAGGAAGTCGATGTACGCAGGTGATTCAAGACCATGTTTTGTGGCATTTTTCGTTAAATTAAGAGAGTATTCATTCTATAAATGAAATACATTACTTAGTGTCAGTAGCCTAATGGCAGAGCGCGGACCGCGAACTCGAAAGGTCGTGGGTTCGAATCCGCCATTTGACTACTGTCGTGAACCACTTCTAACACAAGCATTTTAAGCTTACCAGAAGTGATTAAAGGGAATATTAGTAATGTTTAACAGCATTACTAGTATTTATAAAAAAATTACTTAGTATTTAAAAAAAATTAAAATGGTAAAGTAAGTAACATTTTAATTTTTCACAATTAGTCAAGTGAACATCTGAAGGATGAGGTATATATATAATATATATATATATATATATATATATATATATATATATATATATATATATATATATATTATTTAAATATATATATATATATATATTATAGGATAGGGTGACAAACGAGCACATAGTCCACCCGATGGTAAGTGGTTGCTGCAACCCATAGACTACATCTATCCTCAATAAAGAATTAAAATGCTGATGCGTTGTCATCCGTGAGGACTAATATGGAATATGCCTCTTTTCCAGTAAAAAGGGTCTCCGGTTCTCTACACTCAGCATATGAAACACAGCAGTGTTAAGCTGCTATTTTACGCTGGTATTTTATGAGAGCGTGGTCTTTCCCCGGTCTAGCCGACCCATTCGTGCTACAACTATACTACTAATATAGCTGCAGCCTAGCTTTACCATGTTGATTAGGTTGAAGGTTGAATATGAAAAATAAAACAAAATACGTACGTAACATAATAATATACAGTTGCTACTAGCAGATTACTGCTCCTATATTTTTGTTTAAATAGTGGTTTGAAGTAGATTTTGAAACATAAATGTGGTGAAATTTTGTATAATAAATAACTGCCCATGTGTATAAAATAAATATGTGTGTATGAAATAAAACAACTATTAGTAAAATCGATGAAACAAAAGCTCCGATGATGACATGAACTTCAAGATAATCTGTCTGTTGGCTGCTGGCTCAAATATGAGAGTAAATATACTCGTATCTTCTGATTTACTAGAAAATTGACATCCCTAATGTAGTAGACTCACAATCCTCTTCCCATGCGACTCCACCTCGGCTGCAGCGATATATAGAAAGGACTCTCTTCTAGCAGCAGCTCACTATCGCATCTAAGTGCTCGACAAGTCCACACAGTGTGGCCACCTTGGGTCCAATTGTGAGTGTTCATCAAAATTGGTCCAGCCATCCTCGAGTGAGGACCTATCATACAGGCGGCAATTAATTTTAATTTATATAGATTTACCACTTGCTCAGCAGAAAACCATCGACAATATTCCACAAAGCTTATTCCGCTTGGATGAAAATATTTCGAAATTATGAAGTTAAGGCAGGATCTTGATAATGCCGTGTAGCGGCGGCTTAAAAGAATCCACCTACCAAATAATTTATGTTATTACTTAGAAGCTCTAAGACCCCATATCATCCCTTAAGTATCGTAAAAGACGATAGGAGAATAAGCAGGAGATAGGCCACAGTATCTTCCTGATGTCATCAGGAAAATAATTAAAACTTGCGGTTGCCAACCCACTTGCTAAGAGAGGGAACTATAGCAAATATTCCATCTACGTTCAGCATTGCTGTAATTAATGAATAAATGATGGATAACATTTTGAGGGAGCAGAGAGGAAAACGGGTAATACTTTCGTAATCGATTTATTGGTATTTGTGATCTAGTGACAAAGGAGAAGATAGATCACGGTCATGCTTCTGTTATCGGATTATCGTAGCAGTGCACTCTGTGTACTTTTTGTGAAGCAAACTAGGTGTCAATTAAACAAACACAGTTATTATTCCCGGTGAAACCCATAGCAAGCCTAAGCATAATTTAGCGGCAATATACCACCTGAATTTAAGTGGATATTTGATGGTGGTAGAGCCATGCTGCAACTATGTTAGTAATATAATTGTAGCACGAATTTGTTGTAGCACAAATGAGTCGCCTCGATCGGGGAAGGAGCACGCTCTCACAGAATACCAGCGTAAGCTAGCAGCTTAAAGCTGCTGTGCTTCGTATGGTGAGTGCAGAGAAACGAAGACCCCTTTTACTGGAAACGAGGCATTCCATCTTAGTCCTCACGGGTGTCAACGCATCTGCATTTTGATTCTTAATCGAGGATAGATGACCACTTACCACCAAGTGGACTGTGTGCCCGTTTGTCACGCTCATGCTATATAAAAAAAGATTTCATAGTGACCTTTCCACGATATATTTTAAAATATACAACGATAGTACGTAATTACGCATTATTCGACTACGTTTTTGGTGTAAGATGTCAGATGAAATTTCCATAAATTTTCATTGATATAAAGAAGCATTACAAATTTTACTAAGTTATAGACTGACTAAATATATCAACAACGTTTTTTGTTTCGCTAATGGCACATCAATAGTGGTGTCTATGACATGGAAAGATGGCATCAAACTTGTAAAATAAAGAAGGTGAGAATAATATAGCTAACTAATTTTGTACCATGTTAAGCGTCATGTATAAAGAGTTCAGCTTCAAGAATTTTGTTCTTATTTTAGGTCTCTATGCCTCTATATATACAAGTACGCTGGACTGGCTATACCATACAAAATGCTTATTCCAATTTGAAACGCCCTCATTATCCGTTCCGGGAACTAAAATTGAGATAATATGCCAAAGTCTGTTGTTGTATTATTTAAATCATATCTCTGTATTTTGAACTTTTAAACTAAAAAATGAAAGTAGTTTTATGTGGTTTGATTATATTTGATTTTAGTTACATAATAAGCGTTATTTTTAGTAATATCGAGTGTTCGTAATATGTAAAAATCGTTACTAAAAGGAAAGTGGGATAACATTACACAAGTAAGTGAATTTGCAGCTCATATTAAGCAAGTTAAACCTATTTGAAAATATAGGTACTTAAAAATTTGTTACTAATTTTAATATAGTAATTACCAACATGTTTGGCTTTATATTACTGAGTTTTGATAAACAGTAAAAATCAATAGGGTTGTCGAGTTCCTTGTCTATAATACTTTTCGATTTTCTTTTCTACCCATATCTGTTCACATCCAAAGTCGCCGACAACAGATAATTATCAAATGCTTATTAATTAACAGGTTTCCAACTGAACGTAGACTAAAATTATGGCTAAAAAGCACAAAAATTGTGCATTGGCATCCTATACAAAACGATTATCTTTTCATTGGACATGAGTAAACTCACCACTTTGAAAAAGTGCAGTATACCCACAATAATTTCTGGTAGTACCAGTAAGTGTGTAAGTAAAAGTGTTAGATAATTATTTCTAATGTTTTTTTTTATTTCTTCTCTCCTTATTTTCACAAGAATCAAGTGCCATAGCCAAGTGTAAAAAGGTCGCCTGATGATGATTTTGTGTTAACAAGACGTAAGTTTGTAAAATCTGTATAATTATTATGACCAATTTATTGTATCAAGGGAATAAATTTATGTCCTTAGTGAGTTTGCATGAGTTTAGGTGGGAAATAACTCCTCCATGAACGGGTTCCCACCTTTTCGTGGCAAGCGGAGGGGCGGGGGTCACTAGCCGTGGCTTAGTCACCCATGGTAAACGTATGGCGACTCACGTGGCTGGCCTGAAGTGAAGGGCTGGCCCAAGGTAGCCACACTGAGTGGGCTTGTCGAGCACTTAGATGTGATAGTGAGCTGCGGCTAGAAGAGAGTCCTTTCTCTATATCGCTGCAGCCGAGGTGGAGTCGCATGGGAAGAGGATTGTTGGAATGGTAATGTGCCACTCGACTATCCTCCACGACATTGGCGGGTCTGTACCCTTTGGTGCTTCCGACTGCTCGTTTCTTCTTGGCTCCATGGCCTCCACATATCGGACTCGGGAAGTCAGAGAGGGAAGTTCTCAACTAAGGAGGAGTCCTCGCAGGTGGCGTTTCCGTGGCCTTGTCAATGTGTGGTGAAAGCGGAACATTATGGGATTTTAGTAGGTGCAAGTCCGACATAATACGTTCTTGCTCCCGCAATGCAGTTATGCGTAGGCATTTTCTCATTTGAAACCCGAATCAAAATCTGTTCTGTAGTTCAATGCAGCATCGATTATTTTTTTATATGAGGTATAAAACCTGCGCCTGAGGCCTAGGTATATTAATTGGTACATTTATTATTAATTGATATATTTATTTGTAGTATTGCAATATATTGATATGATACATATGTAAATAGAATGGACGTTACGGGTAGGCCTGAGTATATAATTCTTATCGATATATTTTTTCACACTGTTTTATCTCTATTATTAGTTCCGTAGACGTTCACTTCTGCTTTCAGCGCCAAAATGGCGAAAAGGCGAAAATGAAATCGGCTCATTATCTCACGGTGTATAGAAAGTCCATATAAAGAGGTCATTGATCCCAACTCTACGCGGTGCTAAGAAGACATTTATGATATTCTTATTTGTAATCTCGATGTGCCATTATCGATTTTCTTATCTATGTTAAACTATGTTGCTATCTTCCTGTAAGCATGTGTGCAAAAGCGACACAAATGTGAAATCATTAAGATTTACGTATTATAGTTTACATGTGAGTAAGAAATATTCAAGGCCGCTTAGCGAGCTAAGGAGGACTATGTTCAGGGTTTCAAGCGACAAATGTGATATATTGTTTTATGTTTGTGTGGACTATGGGATGGCCACTAATAACTCCTTTCACGATTTCCCATCTAAACCCAATTTTTTTTGGCTAAATGTGGTCCGTAATTAGCTGCTCCGTGTGGTCCGTAATAATCTGCCTTGAAATTGCTCTTGAAATATGTGAAGCTATATCTGTGAAAGAACAAGAAATATTGTATACAAAAGTGACTTATGTGTCTATTATTTTTTATAGAAGAGGGACAATGATTATTGGGATCACCTGAACGTAAGTGTCGACCGTCGCCCATGAACATGAGAAACAGGAGATGGGCAGCAGCTTCCTCCTAATATCAATTAGAAGATTAAAAAAATCGATCTTCAACCCGCCCGTCAACCATGGCTACTATGGAAAATATCCGCCTTATTAGGCAATATATTGGGAAGCCTATGTTCAGCAGTGCACTTTGGTAGACTGAAATGTATGGATGAATAGTTATTTTTTGATTATTTTATAGCCTAGATCATTATTGGTATCGCTCATTCAGAAGATTAGGCCGCACTGACAGACAGGCAGATATACACAAAAAATTTAAAAATGATTATATAAGTTTTAATAGAAACCAATTATGTCGCTATTACAACAGATACTTCAAATTTATTTAAATAATAATAATAAAATATTTATTCATTGAACAAAAGTAACAAAACATTTAAAAGTTAAACTAATACAAAATTAATATTTTAAGAAGGACAATGAAAAGGTTCTGACTCAGCATGTGTTGCAGAGAATCTACAACGCTGTTATTCTGGCAGCATCCGTATACTTAATGAACTACAGTATACAGTACGCGTACATCACTGATTATAATACAAATGGCAATTGATTTGTTCAATTACGAGTATTTATTCAACCAGTACAAGAACTATTTAGTCAACCAGTGCAAGTTTTCATATTGATGTTATTAATAAATTAATAATTAATATTCATGTACAAAGATAAACATAAACAAAATATAAACGAAATATAAACAAATCATATGAAAAAAAAGATAATAATTTAAAATTAAACATTTTGTACAGCCGACTTCAATATAAGTTATTAAGAATAACTCAAAAACTATTGATCTGACCTAGATAAAATTTATATGGCACCACACGAGAAGTACCAGCTTTCTAACAAAAAAGAATCATCGAAATCGGTTCGCCCAGTAAAAAGTTATGAGGGAACACACATAAAAAAATACAGTCGAATTGAGTACCGTCTCCTTTTTGGAAGTCGGCAGAACAGTAAGAGCTACAGTAGTTTGATTTATAGTATAATAATAATTATACTAAAACAACATAATGGTTATTAAATGTATAAATTAACGTGTAGCTACCGGAAGTATTTATAAAATCTAGACAACAATTTAATTTCAGCGAATTATAAGTCTATAATGTCTTTATAAGAACATCTGTAAACAATCTAATAGGGTTTACATTTAAAAAATATGCTTATATATTATTTTTTGTGAACTCATATTATTGTAATTAACTCTAGCTGTCCTTAAAGAAATTTAAAAAAAATGCTCTTTAATACAAATAACGTTTGTTCAACTCTTGCCTCACTATGATTTATTATGAGCAAGTAACAAGCCTGGGCCAAAATTTGCATTTCGGGCTCTCATCGCTTAATTTACAATTCTAATTGAACTACATCGGGTGGAACCTGATCAAACAAAGTGCAAGCGTCGAAAGGAGCGCTTTATATTACCTATTTTAGCGGTAACGCTTATAAACTTATTTACATTTAAATGTAACAATAATATTCAGACAATATCGATGATTTCTAGTTTATCGACCTTTTATATATGCTCAATTATCTATATTAACGTGTTAGAGCCACGCCGCAGCTATATTATGGTTGTAGCACGAAAGCGTCGCGGCTCCGCTGGGGTAGGGCCACGCTCTCACAGAATACCAGCGCAAAATAACAGCTCAATGCTGCTGTGTTTCGTATGGTAAGTGTAGAGATCCGAAGACTATTTTTACTTAAAACCAGGTATTCAATCTTGGTGCTCAGGGGTGATAACGCCTTCTACATTTTGATTTTTAGTCGAGGATAAATCTAGATGTCTATGGGCCTTAGCATCCACTTACTATCAATTGGACTATGTGCTTGTTTGTCACTCTCATTCTTTAAAAAAATCTACCTGATGCCATATTTCAAGTTTCTAAGTAACAAAACGTGGCCTAGGTTTTTGATGAGAGTCAGTGAGTGATAAAATAGCACTTTGCAGACCTTAATAACTAAATAACTGAAGTTTATATATAAAATTAAGCTGTTTTAGATTCTAGCAATTTAAATGATCTTTGGTATGGTAAATTACAAATGTGTAAGTCTAATCGTTTTTGAATTTAGGTGCTAGGTTCTAAATTCCAAGTTCTAAGTTCTAAGTACTAAGGGGTTTCTTAAATAGCTCGAAATGGTTCGTGTATACACACACAATGCCATTGCGCTGTTTTTTTCTTTACTGAACTTGGCTGAAACCGCTGTGTCCCAGTCTGAAGGATATAGAGAGCTAGAATAGTTATAGGCTGGTGAGGCAATCCATCCTACATGGCAACAACGTATTTGTTGCCTTCTTTGTTTGAAGTTAGCTGAGAATGTAAGTTTTTTTCACTTCAGTTTAATAAAAAAATGTAACAGACAGGACAATTACCGCTAAAAGTGATTCAACGATAGTTTTCACCCGACTGCAAAGGAAGGGTTACGTTTTTCGCGTGTCTTTTGTATTGTTTGTAAATTTTATTATTACCTTGTATCTTCCAAACGCCTGAATGGATTTCGACAAATAAGGTATGGTTTAAGAAAAAACCAAAATGTTCTTCGATAGCTATTTGACAAAAATATACAAAATGGCGGATTTTGGCGCAAAATAGTAATACGTTAATAAAAAAATTAACAAAATATATCGAGTAGGATATTAATATAAGTAAAATTAAATGGGATTACAAAAATATGTATGAGTTTTATGTTTGAATTTAATTAGGAACAATTTGGTTTAAATTGTGTTTAGATCTTGATAGCGAAAAAAAATGGGCCATGTTTGTGTCGGTCCGTACCTCGTGCTATCATATGAGATTTGGTTTATAAGAGTGTGACGAGACATTAAAAAGTCTGAAACATACTACAAAATTATAACTAATGTCAGATATATCGCAAGCCAGTGTTCTGTTGCAGAGTAGCTTTTATTTTAGAATCCCCTCCGGAAAATTACACGGAACTCTCTTCCGTTTCGCTTCACTCCTCAACCTCGTTCAACGTTTGAATACATTGAATGTGAGTATGATTATGGGCTTTACATTTTGTCATAAAATGGTTTTAATTGAATGGACTCGAGATACTATATGGGTAATAATAATCTTTGTACAATTTTTTAATCTATCACTATCTATCAAATCTACTATCTACGACTACGACTATCAAATCAGAGCTAGCCGGTTGGAATTCCAACAAAAAGTCACATTTGTGAAAAAATTACCATTTTCTCTGTTCTCAATTACATATTTTTGTTTTCGATTATACTCTGATACATCCAATCTGTCTTTAGAAATACTGCAGTAAGTTCTTCCAAAAATGTAAGACACTAATGTCATATAAAAAAAAATTCAACCACTCTGCTCTAGTCAGCAATAAGGCATACCTCTCATCCTTGAAAAATATTTTTATTTATTTCTCATTTCTCGCAGCGCTGCAATTGTGTAACTCTGATAGGAATATTTTGCAATTGAAAATATCTCTACTATTTCGTTATGTTTTCCATTAACTATAATAATATTTTGTAAATGAGATAATAATATATTAATCTATATACATATAAATAGATATTGGTATATCTGTTTATTACCGTTTGTCCGATCACCATGAAAGTTAGCACATATATTTATTTAAACATCCATTTTATTGTTACTGGATATGGCGTTGCAGGATATCAATCAACGTGTGTACCGTTCAACCGACAGCATTGAAAATTGGGACCAGGACAATGTCTGCTGGATTTTATTTGTATAATACTAACTATTTAAAAAAATATTTGTGTTGCTAGGACCAGCAACCAGCTTCATTGCGAGATCAGCCCCATGGTAACATAATGTTGTATTACAATATAATATTAAGTAATATTGACGGCAATGCAATATAACTAATATTGAATTGTCATCAAAGTAACATTTTTAACTGTGGTAGAGCCACGCGGCAGTATTTTCCGTCGCACGGATGGGCCGCCTCGAACCGGAAGATTACTTATGCCTTTCGATTGGTGAGTGCAGGTGGCCGCAGGCCCAATGCCCCCCCCCCCCCCTTTCCCACTCCTCCGCCCTTTAACATGGTTGCGGAGTTAAATTAAGACACTATCCTAGGAGTGTACCAGCACCCCTGGTGTTGGGAAAATCCCTCGCTGAGCATCCACGCCCTATCTATCCTACTCTTTCTAAGCTGGGCTGATGTATCGACGTCTTGAGATTCAAATACCAGTAGTAATATTTGTCATTGCCAAGGCAACGTCAGAGCATATCGGCAGAATTGGCGAGAAACTAGTTCGAATTCCTTCGGGAACTCGTGTATTCTGGTCTCTCCCCAAGGCTGTCCAGGGGAGCTTCTGTCAGCTATCTCTGCCATCTCTGCACAAGGGGGACGACTCACTGGTCCATGCTACAAAGGAGAAAACCAATCTGCTATGCACTTTCTTTGCGTCCAACTCGACTCTTGAAACGAAGTCTCTCCTTTTGTGCTGAAGACGTATTCTCCGGAGTTTGCGCCAATTTTAACACGTCTTTTCTGGTACTTTTACTCCCAAGGCGTAGTCACAAACTCATGAAAGACAGCTTTGGTGCGCCCGACCCCAAAAAAGGCGACCGCTCAAATCCATTCAACTACAGGCCTATCGCCATCACCTCCTTGTTCTCCTGTTGAAACCATCATAAACTGCCAGCTCATGAGGTACTTTGAGAATCACTAGCTGATTATTGTCGGGGTCGTACCTTCACCCATCTACCTAACTCATAGATGGGTGAAGGCTTAAGAGTCCAAGGGGGAGGCGTTGGCTGTTAATTTGGACGTTGCAAAGGCCTTCGATCGGGTTTGGTACAAAGCGCTTCTTTCGAAGCTCCTTTCCTATGGGCTTCCCGAAAAATTGAATATGAATAAATTACTCACCTGTTTTCAGTAGTTATGATTTTTTTTATAGGATAAAGGTGACAAACGAGCACACAGTCCACCTGATGGTAAGTGGTTGCTGCGGCTCATAGACATGTACATCTATCCTCTGTTACAAATCAAAATGTAGATGCGTTGTCACCCGTGAGGACTAAGATGGAATGCCTCATTTCCAGTAAAAAGGGCCTCCGGCCACCTGCACTCACCAAGCGAAACGCAGAGGTAAACCTTTACTTCACGCTGGTTTTCTGTGAGGTCGTGGTACTACCCCGGTTCGAGCCGGCCCATCCGTGCGACAGCAAAAGCTGCCGCGTGGCTCTACCACAGTAAAAAATGATACATTTTTTAAACTTTTTAGGGTTCCGCATGCAAAGGGTAACCAACGGGACCCTATTACTAAGCTTCCACTGTCCGTCTGTTCATCCGACCGTCCGTGCGTCCGTCCGTCTGTCTGTCAGCGGGCTGTATCTCATGATCCGTAATAAGTAGACATTTGAAATTTTCACAGAATCTATATTTCATCATATTTATTAAAAAATAATAAAAATTTGAATAAAATAAAATTAAAAAGGGCAGGGTCCTACTAGAAACTTGTATTACGATGGTACGGAACCCTTCATGCGTGACTTCAACTCGCACTTGACCGGTTATTTATAGAATAAGTGTGGTAAATAAGCGCACAGTCCATCTCATGATAAGCGGAGTCTGTGGCCCAAAGACATCAACATCTATCCTCAATTAAGAATCAAAACGCAGATGTGTTTTCATCCATGTAGATTATATTACGCTTTTATTATGATGTGAGAGCGTGGTATTTCTTTCGGTAGTTGACACATTAGTGTTACAACCATAATATAGCTGCAGCATAGCTCTACCACCTATACTAACGTGTAAAGTTTGTATCACGTTTTAATTTATTTATTTATTTATTAAGGCACCATAAAGGTAAGCTTCAGAAATTGTAACAAAACATAATTTATCAAAATAACATACAATCAAGCTCATCTTAATTATAGGCGACCATTGTTAGAGTGGGAGATGATCTTCAAACTAGGAAGACACATCATTTTATTTTATCGAGCGGATGTACGCACAGTAATTTTTACCACTTGGAGAAGAACTTGGAGAAACTTGTCACTGTTCCGGTAGAGTGTTTGTTTTTAAACACAAATCACTTGTGGTGCACTTTAGCATCGCTTGTAATCTTGCGACAGATGGACGACTTGTTCTGTTGCATCTTCGATCGCAAAATGAGTGCCTGATAGTACTAGGAAACCATTCTGAAATAGGGGTTGTTATAAACTAATTTGCTTAATTCCACGTAAAGAAAGAAAATTATGTGCCTTCCCCAGTTTTAAGGGGACTTCCCACCCTCCCTCAATTGCGTGCACTATAACCCGTCGCCGTCAATCCCAGCACTACCACCCCCAGCACCAGCACCAGCACACTAGGCACGACACACCACTCTCGAAAATACGACACGTGTTTCGGCTCTACACGAGGCATCCTCCGGTGAAGTAGACTCTGCGGAGGCTGGCCGCTAAGTGAGCGGCGAGTCGAAACTACTGCTATTTATACTACTTGCTGACGCAACCGCGCTCCAATTACGTAGCGAGATTACGTCATGCGATCAATTACCGCCTGACGTACGCCGATATTTGCTGTGAAATTATTAACAAACTATTGCAAAACGTCCGCCTACCCTACAACCACGCAACCAAACGCTGACCACCGTACAGTGAGGGTGACAAACGACCATGTTGCGAGGCTATATACTATCAAGGAGCAGGCTTAAACATGTTTAAGAGAGGCTAATTGGAAACATTTGTTTGTTCATTCAGCAGTGCAACATTATTAATTATAACGGTATGTCTTTGTTAATTAAACCAGTCAAGTGAAACGATTTTGATGGTTATTTTTTATTAAATAGTATGTTATATTTCAGGAGTTTTGAAGAGAAAATCCAACCGTAATTGTGGCGAAATAGGGGATGAAGATTTTAATAAAACTAATCAGACGACATTAAAGAGTCCACTCATTAGGGTAAAATTAATAATTAATAACTTTAAATAAAACTGAACACCGGTTTGAAAAGAAGTATTCTTCTTCTTCTTCTTCTACCTAGTGTTTATCCCGGTTGCTCATCCCGCCCAGTGCGGGAGAACCCAGGGTCCGCTTTCCTACACTTCCTCCTCCACTTTGCCCGGTCTTCGGCGTCCCTCACAACTAGCCCATTGGCGCGCATGTCATCCTGCACGACATCAAGCCAGCTTTTCTTGGGCCATCCTCTACTCCTGGTACCAGGTAGGGTCATGTCCAGGCATTTGTTTCCCATGTAGCTTGCCGGTCGTCGTAAGACTTGGCCGTACTAGCGGAGGCGACTTTCCTGCAGCTTGTCAGCAATGTCACGGACATGGAGGCTGCCGCGGATGTATGTATTCCGTACACGGTCTTTCCGCGTGACGCCACACATCCACCGCAGCATGTTCATCTCCGTGACATGCAATAACTGCCGGTGTCGCTTCAGCACCGGCCACGCCTCACTGCCGTACGTAAAGAAAGGCCTTATAGACCTGTCCCTTCAGCTTGACCGGCATTTTGGGGTCACAAATGACACCCGTCACCTCGCGCCATTTCACCCAAGCCGATGATATACGGGCCTTGATGTCGCGATCGATGTCACCGGACGCATCAAGCACAGATCCGAGGTACCTGAAGTTGTCCGTGCGCTCGACGGTGTCGTCGCCTATACGGAGAGACGTCAGATCTGTGCTGTTGCAGGCCATATACTCCGTCTTCGCCACGTTTAGCTTCAGCCCGCCGTTCTCAAGCGCCTCCTTCCATGCGTGCACACGTCTGGTGAGCCGTCCTTTGTCCCCATCTACCAGTGCGATATCATCAGCGTACATAAGCAGACAAGGCTGCGATAGTTTCTGTACGCTGGCTGACAGTTCGTCTAATATCACACTGAAGAGATAGGGGCTTAAGACGGAGCCCTGATGCACGCCTACGGTTATGGGGAAGGGGGTGGTATCACCAACAGCGGTCCTGACTATTGAATCGGAGTTGCGGTACATGTCACGTACGATTTCCACGTAGGTCTCTGGTACCAACTTCGACCGCAACGCCCACCAGATCATCTCCCTAGGAACACAGTCAAAGGCCTTCTGCAGGTCTAGGAATAAAAAATGCAGGCATATTCTTTTCCCTGTGCTTCTCCATGAGGATCCTTAGGGCGAATATAGGGTCCATGGTACCACGTCCTGGTTGGAAACCGTACTGGAAGTCCGACACTGTACACTCCTGTCGGAGCTTCATGGTGTGTGACATCACCTTTATACCGCGGTAATTATCGCAATCTTCAACGGACCCTTTACCCTTGTGGACCGGCGTTATTATACTAAGCCGCCATTGATCAGGCATTATTCGGTCGCTCAGGATTCTATTATAAAGGTTAGTAAGAATGCACACACCACAAGCCCCCAGCGCTTTCCACGCTTCAATTGGCACCTCGTCCGGTCCAACAGCTTTCCGATTCTCTATTTGACGAAAAGATGCGAGGACCTCGTCATGTGTAATTGGTGGCAGGAGTCCATGGTTCGGGAGTTGTTCGGGAGGGTGCACTTCCCGGTGCTGAGTATTCAGCAAAACGTGGAAATAAAAGCGCCATCTCTCCTTCACCGCACGATCATCGTACAGGAGCTCGCCATTAGGGCCGTTGACGCTGCAGCAGCGACTAATATCTTGCGCTGCTTTGGCCCTAGAGCGCGCCAGTTTATATATGAGCTTGTGCCCCTCAGAAGTGTCCAACTTAGCATATAATGGTTGCAAGTGGTCACGCCTGGCTCTGGCTACAGCTTTCTTGGCAGCTCTTTTCGCTGTCTTGTAAGATGTGCGATCTTCAGGAGATTTGGTCACTTGCCACGTCTTGAAGAGCGCTTTCTTCTCCCGTAATGAACCCTGGACTGTGGTGTCCCACCACCAGGTCTCCTTGTCGATTTTGCGGCCCCGTTCCGCCACGCCGAGAACTTGCTTTGCCGTCTTTGTGATTGCTGTCTGAATGGTTTTCCAGCACTCTTGGACGGACTTGCCTGCTGTGTCGAGACTAATATCCCCAGCGGCAGAGTCAAACTCTGAGTATCTGGTTTGATCCTGTAGCCACCACTTGATTTGACGGCGGCAACGTTCGGCGTGTCTGCGACGGGGTTTTACGCAGATGTCCATTACAAGAAGTCGGTGTTGGGCAGTGAGACACTCACCGGGTATGACCTTACAGTTGGCCACGCGACTGATATGACTTCTCCTAGTCAGTAGATAGTCGATTTGAGTGGCGTTCCGACCGCTCCTGTAGGTAATCAGGTGCTCGGTTTTCTTTTTGAAGAACGTGTTCACCACGGCCAGGTCAGCTGCAGTGCAGGTTCTGAGAATGGTTTCCCCCTCTGCGTTTCTTCGGCCGTAATCATAGCCGCCGTGGACACGTTCATACTCCCCCTGCACCTCTCCCACATGACCGTTCAGGTCGCCACCCAAAACGACATCGTGGTACAACGGTATGCCGCGTAGTACATCTCCGAGCCGATCCAAAAACAGCGTTTTATCCGCGTCGCTGCAGCCGACCTGTGGGGCGTAGGCACTTATTAAGTGGGTCACGACCCCCTCAATAAGCAATCTTACTACCATAAGTCGGTCGCATATGCGTCTAACTTCCAAGACGCTATCGTGGAAATGCTCGGCGAGCACCACTGCCACACCGTTCTCTCCACCAGAGGAGCCTGTATAGATCAGCTTGTAGCCGTGCCCAATATTCCGGCTCCTGTTGGCCTTCCACCGTGTCTCCTGCAGGAATGCCACTGCCACTTTACGCCTGGCAAGTATGGCCGCAAGTTCTGCGGAGCGTCCCGTAGGCGTGCCAATGTTCCAGTTTGCAAAGCGAATCTTCGTAGTTGGTGCTAACGTCTTTAGCCGAGCTCGCACGGAGCCCGGTAGCCCTCGCATACTTGTCGCAGGGTTAAGGCGATCCCCATGCGCGTCGTAATGCGGCGACGCCCTAGTCCTCAACGTATTTATCTTTCTTTTACTTTCCCTTTTTGAGTGGGTTAGTGCCAATTACCGGGGCGACTGCCGTCTGACCGCCGAACCCCTAGGACGAATCCCAGAGGAGTGGCATCGCCAGAGCCCTTTCCGTTGTCCAGCAGGTGCGCCACGTGTAGGCGGGGTTGGCTTGGGCTCCAAGATCTTAGCGGAGCCCCTTACACCCTCACCCACTTGGTTTTTACTTTCTATTAGAAGTTAATATTTAAGGTGTAGCTGTTATAGTTATACTAGTATTAAGCGAATACATCAATTCTGCTATTTATCCTTAAAATAATATATTTTCAAGATATATACATACACTATTAACATTTTGACATGAATGAAACTAGCACTCAGTATTGCGTTCAAAGTAATTAAAGTAAAAATATTAAGATTCAAATAACGATATAATTAATTAACGCAATAAGCCGTTAACGGCTAACTTCGTAAAAGTCGGTTTAATTTGTACCAGCGTACAAGTTGGCGCGTTGAGAAGCATTTCGAACATTAATTTTAAAAAATATATTTCGCTTCAGCGACTTGCCACATAACTTTTAAACTACTTTAACTTTTCAATAGTTTACAAGTCACTGCAAATAGAAACTTACGTTTGAGTAATATGTGCATACCTATTGAATAACACTACTTTTGTGGATTCTATCGCGTTTAATTAACTTATTTTTATTAAATTTCCGACTTTTTCGGTGCTTTACAGCACCCATGGTCACGGTGGACTGAATAGAATAGAATAGAATAGAATAGAATAGAATAGAATATATTTTTATTCAATATACATTACATGTGTAATTCTTATTGAAAGTCATTTTTTACTTTACCACTGGTTCGAAAAAAACCTCTGTCCTGGGAAGAACCAGCAAGAAACCCAGCGGGACTTTTTTTTTTAAATAAATTTTACAATATAAATGATTAGGAACTATTTACAAAATTTATTTTAGAAACTGCTTGGAAGCGATCACCTCATTCCCAGGGGTTATTATCAACCATGTATTCATTTATACTATAATAACCCTTTTTATACAGTTTCAGCTTAATAAAACATTTAAACTTGGTAATAGAGAGAACCTGTACACTTTCCGGGACCTTGTTGTAATAGCGTATACATTGCCCCAAGAATGAATTACTGACTCTGTGGAGACGAGAAACTGGTATCACTAGCTTGTGTTTGTTCCTAGTGTTTACAGAATGTATATCACTTCTTTTACTAAAACTATCTTTGTTTTTGTGAACATACATTAAATTTTCGTAAATATACTGAGAGGCCAAAGTTAATATATTAATTTCTTTAAATTTATCTCTAAGAGACTCTCTCGGTTTTAGATTGTAAATAGCTCTAATGGCCCTCTTCTGTAAAACAAAAATAGTTTCTGAATCAGCCGCATTTCCCCATAGCAAAATCCCATAAGACATTATGCTATGAAAATAACTAAAATAAACTAATCTAGCTGTCTCGACACTAGTGAGACCTCTAATCTTTTTTACAGCATAGGCTGCAGAACTTAGTCTGCATGCTAATTTGGATATATGGGGGCCCCACTGGAGCTTTGCGTCAAGAGTGATGCCAAGAAAAACAGTGGATACAACAGGGCTCAATTCCTCCCCATTTAAAAACACATTGGTATTCAGATTTTGAACATTCGTTGTTGTAAATTTAACACAATTAGTTTTATTTCCGTTCAAATGCAGATTATTAACGTTAAACCAATGCACTAATTTTGATATAGCATTATTCACTTCGTCACATTTAAATGATTGACGTTTAAGTTTAAAAATCAAGGAAGTATCATCAGCAAATAATACTATATCATGACTATCCCCTACAAGGTGAGGTAAGTCATTAATATACACCAGAAACAGGAATGGGCCGAGAATCGAGCCCTGAGGTACACCCATTAGTACAGGTGACCCGGAAGAACTTTTACCATTGATAATAACCTTCTGTTTTCTATTACTTAAATATGAAATAATAAGTTTAAGCGCTGTGTTCTTGACACCATAGTACTGTAGCTTCCTGATTAATGTCTCATGGTGAACACAGTCGAAGGCCTTGGAAAGGTCACAAAATATACCCAAAGCATCCTCTGAATTCTCCCATGCACAAAAAATATGTTTAATAAGCTCAACTCCAGCGTCAGTTGTCGAGCGACCCCTTGTAAAACCGAATTGATTATTATGTAGCAATTTATTAATATTAAAGAAACTTAACATCTGATCTAAAATAATTTTTTCAAAAATTTTACTTAATGTTGGTAGTACAGAAATTGGTCTAAAATTGGCGGGGTCTAATGTACTACCAGATTTAAATATAGGTATGACTTTACTATGTTTCATTAAATCAGGAAACACACCAGATTCGACGCTTATATTAAATATAGTGGCTAGATAAGGTGCTAATGTATCTATTATAGATAAAATAACTTTAACGGAAATCCCCCATAAGTCTGCCGTTTTCTTAACATCAATAGTTTTAAAATATTTAACGATATCTTTTGGCAGTACCCTATAGAATTTAAAAGTATTTGAACAAGCCTTTACATTTTGTTTGAGCAATGATTCGGCGACAGTAGGAGAAGAATATAATGATTTTGTTGTCAAAAAAGGAACATCAGTAAAATGTTTCTCAAAAGCCATAGCAACTTCTTTATCAGATCGGGTTAAATTATTGTTAATATTCAATAGAAAATCCGAGTTGCGCGGTTTGACCTTGCCCGTTTCACTATTTATTATTCTCCAGGTCATTTTAATTTTGTCGGATGCAGTTTTAATTTTGTTGCTTAAATGTAAAGCCTTAGCAGTGGAGCACACTTTTTTAAATATTTTAGAATATGTTTTTACATAATCTCTAAATATAACACTACTATTATATGATCTTTCATCATAAAGCTCGTATAACCTTCGCCTACTTTTATAAATTCCTACTGTCGCCCATTCATTAAATGATTTGCGACTGTTAAAAGAGAAAGTTTTAGAAGTAAATATTCTACTA